GTCTCCTTTCCACCCCACTTTCATCCCATCTCCGTCATTCCCAGGATTACAAGAGGGAGGGCGACCTATTCCGGCAGCTGCTCATCAGCCATGTGCGCCAAGAAAGACATGCGGCTGGCGTGGGAGGAGCCCTCACATCACACGTGCCATCTTTCTTCCTCACATGTCCCACTTCCCTCCCTTGCTCCTCGTCTCAAGGAGTACACGAGGGAGGGCAATCTCATCTGACCACTGCTCATAGACCACGTGCGCCCGGATATGCGGCTGGCATGGGAGGAGAGAGAGCCCTTCGGCCCGGTGGTGCCGGTCATCCTCACAGCCCACAATGCCATCTTTCCTTCTCTCTCCCCTCTCCCAGGAGTACAAGAGAGAGGGCAACCTCATCTGGCCGCTCCTCATAGACCATGTGCGCCCGGACATGCGGCTGGCATGGGAGGAGCCGTTTGGCCCCGTGGTGCCGGTCATCCGCATCACCACGGTGGAGGAGGGCGTGCATCATTGCAACGCCAGCACATTCGCCCTGCAGGTGGGTGGGTGTGCATGGGTGCGTGTGTGTGTGAGAGCATGTGTTTAGGCACGTGCATGTGGGTGAGTGGGATTACGTGTGTGAGCATGGTACGAGTGGTGTGGCGGACATCCGCACTGCCATGGCGGAGGAGGGTGTGCAACACTGCAACACCTGCACCTTCGCCGTGCAGGTTAGTCGTGTGTGTGAGAGTACATGTGTGTGTGTGTATGTGTGTGCATGAGTGCATGTGTGTGCATGAGTGCGTGTGTGTGCGTGAGTGCACGTATGTGCGTGAGTGAGAGAATGGAGGACGCACACATGATGGAAGCACACAGTATTGAAGCGCATGTGATGGAGGCATGCAGCAATACCCCCTAGGACGTACGGCGTATGCCGTAACCTCTACTCTCTTCCCTCCTTCCACTCCTACCTATTCCCTTACCTCCCCTCTTCTCCCCTCCCCCCTCCTCCTCGTGTGAAAGCTGTGTGTTGACGTGGGCCATTAGCAAGCTCATCACGATTGCAGACGCCATGGAAAGAGACCGTCAGCACACCAGCCCACTCACTTATGACGTGTGCCACCACACCCCACTCTCCCTCCCCCCTCCTAAACCCCTCTCCCCCCAGGGCTGTGTGTTCACGAGGGACATCAACAAGGCCATCATGATTGCAGACGCCATGGAGACGGGCAGGCAGCACACCAGCCCTCTCACTCACTTATGACACGTGCCACTCCAACCCCACCTCCTCCCCCATCCACCCAGGGCTGTGTGTTCACAAGGGACATCAACAAGGCCATCATGATTGCAGACGCCATGGAGACAGGCACGGTGCAAATCAATGCAGCCCCTGCCAGAGGGCCCGACCACTTCCCCTTCCAGGTGACCCCCCCCCCCAGCTGCCAGAGCGCCTGCACGCTCGTGGCTTGTGCTAGCATGCTGGCTTGTGCTGGCATGCTGGCTTGTGCTAGCATGCTGGCTTGTGCTGGCATGCTGGCTTGTGCTGGCATGCTGGCTTGTGCTGGCATGCTGGCTTGTGCTAGCATGCTGGCTTGTGCTGGCATGCTGGCTTGTGCTAGCATGCTGGCTTGTGCTGGCATGCTGGCTTGTGCTAGCATGCTGGCTTGTGCTGGCATGCTGGCTTGTGCTAGCATGCTGGCTTGTGCTGGCATGCTGGCTTGTGCTGGCATGCTGGCTTGTGCTAGCATGCTGGCTTGTGCTGGCATGCTGGCTTGTGCTGGCATGCTGGCTTGTGCTGGCATGCTGGCTTGTGCTGGCATGCTGGCTTGTGCTAGCATGCTGGCTTGTGCTAGCATGCTGGCTTGTGCTAGCATGCTGGCTTGTGCTAGCATTCTGGCTTCGTGTATGCCCTAACTCGCATAAGTGCAGCCCCTGACGGAGGGCCCAACCACTTTCCGTTCCAGGTGTCCCACCTCCTTCTGCCATGATTGTTTGCACGCGTGTGGCTTATGCTAGCTTGCTTGCTTCTTGTATGCGCTTGAATTGTTCCGTGTGGCATGCACTTTGATTCGTCCGACCCCCTCCTTTTCTTTTCAGTGTGCTCCCCACCTCTTTTTCGTCTTCCCCACTGCACCTCCCCACTCCACCTCCCCTTCTGTTGCTCCTCCTCTCACATTGCATCCATCCGTCCCTCCTCTCCTCTTGCCTCCCCCTTCGCTTCAGGGTTTCCGGGAGAGTGGCATTGGGTCGCAGGGCGTCACCAACAGCATTCTCATGATGACCAAAGTCAAATCAACGGTCATCAACCTCCCTGCTCCATCCTATGCGATGGCCTAAATTAGCGTTTTCGTTATCAACAATCAACAACCTCCCTGAAGCTTCAGACATCATGGTCTACGCATGTTTAGAGTACCTGGCTCCTGTAGATCTTCATAATGTACTTGATGATCCAGCCAAGTCCAAGCTGTTGCATATATGCATATGTGCTGTCAATTGCACGGTGCTCATTATATATTTGACTTGGTTGCCGTGTGGGCTAATATGAAGGCTGTTGCTTTCGAGGTGAGCGAGTGAAACAGTGCACGAAGTGGTGCAAATACCATCAAGTGATTGCCTAAAGCTATACATCGTTTGTTTCATGTCAAGGCATTGACATGTGTACTTGTTACAGATCAACTCAGTGTAATTATTGAACCTAGCAAAGAGAGACTAGGAAATGGTGGTGGCAATGTCTAGCTGTGCAAGGTACCGTAATGGGTGTCTAGCTGGGTATGCGAGGACTTCCATAGCGGTTAAATTCTCCCAGCCACACACCCTCTTGAGTTCATCCTACATTCCAGTTCTTTGGCCTGGCAGTAACCTCGATTATCCCGCATCGCACCATGGCCATGGTTGGGCTCCATTGTTTCAGAGGCACAAAAGTAGCCGTTGATCCCTCGACATTGGCTGCAGCTTCAAGTCTTGGGGTCGAACGGACGAAAAAAGTGGCGAATAACCACTATGTTCTATGTTTTTTTCGCCGGCGTTTGCTGCGTTTGACGAAAAGAAACACACCCTTCGTTATTTGCGATTTCCTCGCTGGCGCGTCGGCTACTCCAGACCGAAATCTCGCCACAATGAAACATTCTGACTTCCGGAAAAAGTTCGGCTCCACTTGTCCTCAGCGAATCGCATGATCGCAGGCGATTCGTTCCCCTCCCCGGAAGATTTCCGGGGAGGCAGCGGAAGGCCGAATCAGGCGCCGCACTCACACCAAGAGTTCCGGGCAGCTCCTGAAGCCTCCAGCAGGTCCCCTTCTCGGGGTAGAATGTTTAGGACGGGCAGCATGTCGGCGTATACTCCTGAGTCCCGATTCTACCGGAGCCGCTCGTATCGTTCTACAGATCCTTCTTTCTGCCCGTCCCTTATCTTCCCCCTTACGACAACTGGTCCTCTTCTCAGCCTGCCAGAGTATGGTACAAATAAGCACTGCCAATTTTCCAGTTTCGCATTCGTGCAGCTTGTTCAAGCGAGCAACTTTCCAGCCACTCCAGTGTTTCAGCGTCCAGTTCGCAAAGCTTTTGAACTCCGCCACTCTACTTTCGAAGCCTTCTCAGCTTTCTCCGTGTTCTCTAAATTCTAGTCATCATGGCAGCCTGTGACCATCCTACGTTTTTCCACGCTCTTAGATTCAGAAGCTCCGCTCTGGAGGGAATCAGAAGCAGGTTCTGGCACTGACCTCGTCAACTCCGAGGTTGGCTGCAGAAGAGAAAGACTCGATCAACGAGGCCGACCACAGCAGCGCTTGCAGCAACAGCAGAGGTTACAGCAGCAACGTTTCCAGCACTCCCTGTCAGGCGGCGAGCTCTGTGACTCTCAGCAGCACATCACGCAGCAGTGACTCTGAGCGATGTCAGCTGCAATGGTGACAACAATAACGTAAGCTGTAATGATGTCACCTGCAATGATGCCAGCAATGACGTTCGCAGCAGCCATATTTACGCCGCAATCCCAATTCGTGACACAACCAGCGCTGCCAGTGACGTCAGTAGCCGTGACAGCACTGCGAACGAGGTCAGCAGCAAAGACCTCAGCAGTACTGACTTGAGCTGATCAGTCGTGTCTGCAATGGCAGTACCTGCAGCAGATCTGACTTCGAGAAGTTCTGCATCTGCTGCAGTCAAGGTATCAGGTGGAAGAGCAGCAGCAGCCAGTTTACAATTGCTGCCTTCCCTCATCCCAAAGCCACGATCGGTAGTGAGATGCCCTTCCGCAGTGGAGAAAACATGGATTAGAGATCATAATGCGGTAACTCAGCGTGCAGCAGGTCGGGCTGCAGCAGCCCATCCTGCAGTAGCCCGGGCTACAAAAGCCCATCCTGCAGACTTAGCAAGCAGCACAACAAGGGAACAAGGGAAGCGGCCGAACAGTGCGGAATGCAGTGGAATGCGACCAGCCAGGACAACAAGAGTAGCATCAGTAAGGCCTCATTGGAGGCCTTGATAAGTGCAACGCAGGCACTATGTTGACAGAGAGCACAAAGGCAGCCAGCTCTGCATGTTGGAGGGTGTCAAGATAGCCGAGGTCACTCGTGCTCTGCTGGACCCAAGAGCGGGGGGGCAACGGGATGGTGATGGTTGAAGGCATGTGTTCATCCTCCTGGTCTGGGATACATGCGCTTTTAGTCGACTCAAAGCTGTGGTGTGCTGTGCTGAGCTAGGGTTGCAGGGACCATGTGGTGTGATGGTGAGCACAGAATGAGCCTCCAGAACCTCCATCGGCTGCAGTGGGTTCTTCACACAGTGTGCTGTTTCATGCCAGGATATTCTTTTTTTGTGTGTGCAAAATCTCAATGAACAATCATCATTTACAAGCCAAGATGGTGTTGCTGCTGACCACTACACGAGCTAACACCCACCTTGAACTTCGGGCCATTCACAGAAATCCCATCAGAGCTGGCAAAATAGTGGTACTCATAGTACGTATGCAATCGTGTTCTTCACCTTATATGTGGGTCCACATGGGTAGGAGCATGTAGACACATGATGAGGCATCTAGTTAACAAACACTTTGAACTTCTGCCCCTTGGCGCAGTCGATCCCAGCGGAGCTAGCGAAGTAGACCCACATGCCGCGGTACTTATCAGGGATCTTGTACGCCACCGTCGCCTTCTTGGCCTGCGGTGCAACGCGCACTGCCTTGGACGAGAGGTCGCAGTTCGTCCACGCCGCCTTGGAGAACAGCTGCACCACGTCGTCCACTGTGTTGGCACTCGCCCACTTGAACTCTGCACCAGCAGGACGGGGTGTGGGAGGGAAGGGAATTAGGGGATGAGTCGCTTGCAGTGCAGCTGCACCACGTCGTCCACCGTGTTGGCGCTCGCCCACTTGAACTCTGCACCGGGGAGGTGGGAGCGGGGTGGTGGAGGGAGGTTTGACGAGAGTCGGCTCTAAAATCACTTGCAGTACAGCTGCACCACATCGTCCACCGTGTTGGGCTTCACCAATTGAACTCTGCACGAGAGAAGGGGGGCGGGGGGGAAAGGGGAGAGTGTGTCTGCTATGGGTGTGCGAGGGAAAGGGTGAGTTGGATGGGTGTGGTGGGTGCATGGTGGGGCAGAGCATTTGACCCACGTCATTGTGTTGGAAATCGCTCACTCTGCACTAGGGAAGGGGGAGGGTTGTTGGAGGCGGGGGTTAGTGTGTGAGGCATCGCACAAAGAGCAGATCAAGAAGACTACACCCACATGATATTTCAAATAGGTCTAGCCTGGTCTGGTCTGGTATCCTGCAATAAACAAAAACAGTATGTTCAAATGATATCCTAAGTAGCTCTGGTCAACTAACCCGCTGCACGCACCGAGCACGTCATTGACGTAGATCTTCATGGGCGGCATTTGAGGCGCTAGTCAAAGCAGTCAGCTCTAGTCAACAACACAGCCGCTGCACGCACCGAGCACGTCACCGACGTAGATCTTCATGGGCGGCTCGATGGTGGAGATGCCCCACGTCCACGGGGACTTGCTCTTCGCCAGCCCCACCGTGTACTTGATTGGCTTGCGCACCTGATATTAAGGATGTGAGAGAGGATGTGAGAGAGGATGTGTGAGAGGATGTGCGAGAGGATGTGCGAGAGGATGTGTGAGAGGATGTGTGAGAGGATGTGCGAGAGGATGTGTGAGAGGATGTGTGAGAGGATGTGTGAGAGGATGTGCGAGAGGATGTGTTACACCGTAGGGCTAGATATTCAGATGACGTGGAAGCACTTGTGGGCTCCGCGATGGAGTACACGTGGCGTGCGACTAAACCTTATCGCACCAGCGATGCCACGTGGCATGCGACTGAACCGTAATCGCACCTGCGACTCCACCGCGCCTAAAGCGCGCCAAAATTGGTTCGGTGCGATGACCCCACGGACGAACCGCCGCCACGGAGCGTTGCGATTGGTCGATAGGTTGCCCGTCGCCGCGCATCGTCGGTCGGAGGCGAGCACGCGGAGGGGTTCGCGGTCCGCGCAGGAGAACGGTTGGGCCGTGGGGGAAGGGGAAAAGGGGGAACGGGGGAAGGCGGGAAAGGGAAGGGCGAAAGGAAAAGGGTGGAAGGGGGAAAGGAGGAAAGGCAGAGGACGACGGGGACGAGGGATGGCAGGAGAGAAAACGGTTTGTGGTGTTTCGAAGAGCATCTCACGGGAAAGGAACCGCAAGGAGCTGGGGGGAAGGAGGGGCAGGGTGGGGGAGTTGAAAGGAGGACGAGGCGGGAGCGACGGGGAAAGAGGGGGGGGGGAGGCGGGGGAGGAGGGGAGGGGGGAGAGGAGGTGAAAAGCGGACCACGGCAGGAGAGAAGATGGAACAGTTCTTGGGGGCGGGGAAAGAACGGAGGGGGGAAAGGGAAGGGGAAGGGGAGGGAGGGGGAAGGGGAAGGGGAGGGAGGGGGAAGGGGAGGGGGAAGGGAAGACAGGTGTGATAATGGAGGATAGACACTCGAAACGAGTGTTTCGAAGAAAATGGTAAGGACGGACCGCATGCATATTCCTAGGCTCCGCGAAACACGGACTATGGAGGCCCCTCAGGAGACATGTGGGGGTTCGTGTCGCCGGTCAAGACTCACTCTAGAGCACGTCCCTACAGGCTGTAGGCTACTCACGGGGTGCGAGGAAGACAGTAACGAGGACAAGAAGACACCAGGCTCGTACTCCAGCCATGGCGGCACGCGACGGGCTCCAACTTGATGGTTACACGGTTTTGCGAAACGAGCGCTTTAGTCAGTATGCGACGATCGCTTTAGTCAGTGTGCGCGCCACTGCACGCCGGCTACTTCTAGGAGAGATAATTAAAGTCGTGAAGGCGGAGCTGGAAACAGGAGGCGCGATAGGAGTCGCTTACTCAATAAGGGCACAAGAAAACCTTGCAGAATGTGAATGCGTTTGTGTGAGAATACGAAAAACGAGGATGGTAGTGTGCGAGTGTTTCTTGGGGTGATGTGACGCAATTCATAGGGAAAATATGTCATTCGTAACCAACATGGGACTCGATAACATTTCTGGTCAAAAGAAAAAGGAGACGGTCACTGCAAAGGGTGTTTTCACGCGGCTGATAAAACGTTTCACGTAATCAGTCAATATCAACTGGTAAAAAAAACGCGAATGGTCATAGATGAAACTCCCGCCAAAACAAAATGAAACCCAAAAAGAATTTGGATGCAGTTTCGGATTAATCAACCCTAAACACGTAACTCGCCAGGTGTTTGGGGTTGATCCGTTCCCGAACCGCATCCCATTCCGATTGGGTTATACTTTTTTTAGTAGTTAGCAGATTGGTTGAGCTCGAGCAGGAATTTTGTTGAGTTTCAAGTTTTTTTTGCGGGAGTTACATGTGTGACCATTCGCGTTTTTTTTCACCTGTTGTTAGTGACTGAATCCGTGACCCCATTTACCAAACCCGTCAGAAAACCCGATACAGTGACCGTACGCATTTTTTTTTACCATTCACGTTATCGAGACTCAAGCTGGTTACTTACGGCATATTTTCCCCAATTCGGGAAAATATGTCATTCGTAACCAACGTGGGACTCGATAACATTTCTGGTCAAAAGAAAAAGGGTACGGTCACTGCAAAGGGTGTTTTCACGCGACTGATAAAACGTTTCACGTAATTCATATCCCAGACCAGCTCTCCCCCACGATGTGCCACTAGTGGCAGTCCCATTTTCAGTTTTTTTCCCCGCACGAACGACAAACCATTGAAGATGACCGACTCGCGCACAGAGGACCTTCTACGAAAGATGCGACGAGCGGAAACAGTTTCGCTGGGATCGTTCTCCAGGGTGAGTCGTCCTGCGAAACAAAACACGTTTCGTTGTCGCGAAACTGGGGAAATCTGCTGAAGCATGCGAAAGATTGCGACAAGCGAACACCGTCATCACCGTCCACGTTGCACCAAACTCACCGACCAGCCAGCAGATAGTGTAGTGTACGTTACCAGGGGCAGGTGACACCAGCCCCAGGTGCCCCCAGCAATCATCGTGGGGCAGATCCGTGCGGATTCACCTGCGGACATGTACTCGTTATATCATCACGGTATACTCTGTCAGGTGTTGAACAGCCCCAATCAAGGGTGAAACGAAACTTGTGTAAAATGTTAGTTTGTTTTTTTCATCACTTCACAAAGTTCACTCCGGTCTGCAAGGTGGCTCAAACCAGACCAATACGCAGCCAGCATCCTAAATAAAAGGACGCACGTAATTAGAAAAACCAATGCTTCATTATTCATGGAGCGCCGAGGTTGGTAACGGTGAAAGTCCCGGTCCATGATCCGCCAGCAGCAAGCGTGAGCGGGCGGCGGGCACAGGAGAAGCCGACACAGAGAAACTCGTCCCACTCTCGTAGCCCACAGGTCTCATCCGCCGCGTGCACCGTCAGATCGCCCAATCCGACGGCTGCGAGGCGAAAGGACAGCCTGCGACCCTGAGAGGGGGGGATGGGTTGAGAAGGACTGTATGTGTGAGGCAATGGTAGGGTATGCAGGTATTACCGTACGTGACTCAATGGAATGGATACTTCAAATCGATTATGAGAGCAAGGAGCAAAACCAGAGCTCGGGAAAGGGCCCAAATCAAGGGTAAACTCGGGAACTTCATTACCACACCAGCCACGTAGTCACTAATCTCCCGAGCTTCTCGCATACGCCCCATTCCCTTGATGCTGCCAGATGCCACGTCATCCAGCCTTGCACTTGCACTCCAAAAACACATACGAAGCGAGCATCTATCGAACCCACACGCACACGCCTCTTACAGTCACACCACTTACTCTGTCAAGGAGTGTCACCGAGTTAGGTCCATCCACAAACATCCGCTTTACAGGTGCCTCGATATCAGCATAGTCTGCTCTCTCCACGCCCTCCTCCCCTCCCTCCACCACTTCCCTCCACAGCCCCCTCAGCTGCCCTACCATCTCCTTGTTATCTGCGCTCACTTCTAAACCTGCTCCTGCTGCTGCTGCTGCTGCTGCTGCTGCTACCGTCGCTCCTATCTCTTGCCCACTGCTTTGTTTCTTCCTGCCCAGTTGCCCAAATAAACCTCCCATTCCCCATAACCCTCCTGTTTCAGCTGTCTCCTGCTGCTGGCGCCCCGGCTGCCGTCCTCTCTCACTGCCACAGTACCGCACGCCTTTGCAGCCAATCAGGCGAGCCCCGTTGATGGTGGAGAGGGAGAGGTGGGCAGCGAGAGAGGGGGCGAAGAGGAGATCAGTGGAGGGCTGCTGAGGGGTGCTGGTGGGTTGTGAGGATGCTTGTGTGGGGGGCTGCGTCACGCTGCTGCTGCTGCTGCTCGTGGTTCTGGCGGTGCGAGCGGCAGTGTTTTGCACGCTGAGGGAGGAGGAGAGGGAATTGGGAGTGAGGGTGATGGTGAGGGCGAGTGAGGCGGTTCCTGACCAAGAGGGGCAGGAGGAGGCGGATGGGGAGGTTGAGGAGGATGAGGAGGAAGAAGAGGAAGGGTGTGATTCCGAATGTAATGACTGAGAGATCACAACCTGCAGGGATGACAAGAGACAGTTTCAGGAAGCAGAGAGAATGAAAGATGAAGGGCTCAGAGGCAAAGGGAGCACCGAGAAACCAAAAGGCATAAACGAGAAAAACGAGGAAGTAATAAGCTTGACGGGATGAGAACTGAGAGGCAAAGGACGAAATGGAGGGAGGTAAAAAGAGCAATAAAAAGAGGGGAGGAAAAAAATCAATGAAGAAGCGAAGCTGACAAAGTGCCGCTGCAATCACGAGGAGAGGCAGAGGGCATAAACCTCCCCCTCTGTGTGTGCGACGCTCATGGCTCAGCCTGAAGAGCTCTAGACTCCCGCGGACAGAGAAGCAATAAAGGTGACACTGATGCAACATGTGTGGAGCCACATGGACTCTACCTTTGGAACACCTCGACTTCTTCCGCCAAAAGATATCCACAACACGACACCTCACCCACTTTCCCTGCTCTCCCTCTTCCTTCCCTCCCCCCCTTTTCCCCCATTCCCCTCTTACCTCTCACTCTTTCCCCATCCTCTCCTCCCCTTTCCCGCTACCCTCCCCTCCCAGCATCCACACCCATCCTGTCCCCTTGCCCCTCTCGGAGCCCCACCTTAGCCCAGCTCCCGTTTGGCGCGCTTGATGCTGACGTCACCTCCCACTCGCCTTGCGCTGCCAGCTCTCCAAGTGGCACCCTCCTGCCGCTGCCAGCTGTCATCGCGCCACTGGCTGGGAAGCTGACGACGAGACCCCCTCGAATCAGGTTGCATGAGCTGGGCGAGTCGTCGCCGTCCACGTCATCATCGTTCGTCGCCGCGTACAGGACCTCCTCCACCGCGCCGTGCCACATCATCGCGCGGTACGACGTCACGCGAGCGCCGTCAATGAGAATGCGACACGTGGACTCGTCTGACGTGGACAGCTCAACGGTCCGGATCCCCGCGGCGCCAGAGAACTGGACAAATGGCGAACCGTAATTCTGCTGAAGGAAGTATGGCGAGGCGCGACCGGGTGACGTGGCACTCGCGGAAATTCGGGAACGAACTCTGCTAGAGCCAGACATCCGGAGAATTGCTCCATCACATATCAAGGGAGGACGTGTTGCAACGGGAATGAAGTGTCGTGGCGCGAGCGGCGATTGGAGGGAAGGGAGTAAGGTACGGGCATTAGAAGACGTGTTCCACTGGAGATCACGTGAGAATGCGGGGGAGTGGTCGTTAAGTCTGCGCCTCGAACACGCATTGCGGCGAGAGGACGAGGGAGAGGCAGAAGAAAGGGAGGGGGCGATCGAGCCAACTGCGACCCGGTGAGACGCCGGCGGGGAAGCGCGAAGGGGATCCATGGAGAATAGCGATCGGTTGAGGCGATTCTACGAGAAAATCCTGGTGGCGACGACGGGAGTCTAGCAGATGGATGGACACATGGCTTTATGCGAGGAGGAAGGGAGGAGCGACGCGGCTCGAATCTGGGAATTATATTTGCTGGGCTGGGTGAGAGGAGGATAATAAGGTGATAGGATCTAGGTGGGATGCGACGGGGTGGAGAGAGATTGCATTGCATACTCGGGGTTTGGCGATGTCGGCTCACCATCCTCGTAATCGGTGTGCGATAGCATTCATTACAGGGATGTCTCAGCAGATACGTAAGAACAGTTCTGGTAAAGTTATGGGAAGTTCCTAGCCCTGCTTTCTCCAAATTCCGAACCGAAATATTTATTTTACTGTATGGGACAGAATTAGTCTCACCTTTTCATTCCTTACTATTACTAGTTGATTAAACAATTGGTGATTATCCCTAGCTTTAACTAGAGGCCCAAATTGTTCAACTTTACCACTAAAGTTCGGCGTTGGGTGGTGAGGGAGCTGGGCAGGAAAGTCTGAGGTGTTGGGTGGGTTGAGGGCTTTGGTTTCGCCTAGCTTTGGGTTCAGAGTTTTGGGGAATGGCCCCTTCATTAGAATGAAAGGATTTGCACGGTAGATTTTCCTTCCCTTCGTAATGGCACACAGGTTTCACCCACATACCAAAGCATTCAGGCTACGGGCATGGCGTGATGTTACTGACGGAACATGCTTTGTCCATTCCATAACTTGGGTGGGAGGAAGAGGTGTGAGGAAAGAAGTGAGGGTAGCGAAAGGAGAGGAGCACAGGGTGCTGGAGCGAAGAGTCGGGTAGTGCCGCAGGAAGTAACCCATAAAGGATAGGGAAGGGCGTAAGAGATATGAAGAGAAGCGCGAGAAGCGGAGCATGCGATGCGAATGACGAAGCACTAAGGAGAAGGAACAACTGGAGGAGTGAGGGGGAGATGTAAGTGGGCAACGGTAGGTATGAAATAGAAAGAAGAACAAAAGAAAGTGGAGCGGGAGCTGTTGTTGAGATGGATGAAAGAGGAGAAAGAGAGGGGACGGAGGATGGAGGGAACAAAGAAGATGCGGGATGGAGGGAGGTGGAGGGGAGAGTGTACAGAGAAAGCACACAATACTGAAGGGAAGCACGAGACGGGAGGACGGGAGGAAGTGTACAGAGGAAGTGCAAGAGACTAGGGAGACGGACTGGGGTGGACAGAGAAATAGGCAGCAAGAGGGAGGAGGATGATGGGTGGGGGGAGCAAAGCAGGAAGGTGGGGAAAAGGGGGAAAGAAGAGGAAAGACATGGATGAAGATAGGATGGAATGAGGCATCAAGAGGAATGTGAAGGAAAGGGAGGCAGGGACTAGAGGGGCCTGGAGAAGACAGACGAGAATAGGAAGCATACAATTCCAAGGCAATTCAAACAGCAGACAAGCTTTTTCTCAAGTAACAAGGCAACGTCAACTATCACGGGACATAAGGAAAGGTTCCAATACAAGTGAAGATCAGGATTGCTGCGTGTATAATTTTATTTCAGCTAGAATGTACATGTACCATGTGGATAACGTACACATAAATTGTAAGCAGCTATAACGTCAAGCTGCCAGTGCTGCTTGACCCAGCTACATACCTTCTCAAACATTTAGGCAGGAGAAAGAAATCCTTCAGACCTTGCTTGAAGCTATAGCCAAAAACGCTTCGATGAAAAGCAGTTAATGAGACCATCAGCAGCATCGGCATCCGTTTGGAAGCAGGAAGCGGTGCATGTATGAAGGCAACTAGATGGCCTCGATGTGATCGACGTTAGGAGTGCGCCTATTGGTGGGAGCTTCAGCGAAGTCACTCCCCTTCAGCTCTGCCGACGTCTTGTCAATTGCTCGGTTCAGCTCAGCAAGCTTCTCATTCATTTTCCTCCGCTTCTCCTGAAACGCGAGCCATGCGACAAAGTGAGCTACCTCAACTTACGGGGAAAAACGCGATCTCAAAGTGAGAGTTCAACCTACCTCGAGGTTATCACTCTCGCTAATCCACTTAGGGAGTTTCGGTGAGGAACCCTCCTCGTTCGTTCCGAGAATGGCCTTTGAGATCTACCAGGGATGAGAGGGGTTTCAGGGGACATTTTTTACACAAGATGATGCAAGTATCCATGAAATAACCTGTTGTAGAATTATCAAGTGACTAACCTGAGGTGCGAACAGGTAGCCGAGAGCACCGAATACAACGCCACCTAGAACGAAACCAGGTAAAAACCCGCCTCCACTCTCTCTCCTGCAATGAATGAAGGTATTCGCAATAAGCCAGGCCGAAAAACCAGCAAGAAGGCAACCACGTCGTAAATGAAACAGTGGCCCGACAAGAGGACACGGCATGTCACCTGTAATCAGAATCTGCCACAACAAGTGTCCGTGTTGCGGTCCGTCTGTTGTTGAGGGCTCTGGAAACCACCAGTTTCGGTGAAGATGTCAAGGCCTTGGCTCCAGCAAGGCCTTGGAAGCTAGGGACCCCTGAAACGGTACCATGTGGAAAGGTAAAAACTAAGCGACGATGCAAGTCGGTACCGTGAACGTATGATGTGCAACGTTCTCACCTAGCGAGCTCTTGGGTGCCAGAAGGACGGCAGTGCTACTGGCACATAACATTTGAGTGGTTGCCATGGCTGAAATAGCGGGAGATCTAGAGCTGGCGATGCGAGGGGCAATACAGTGAGTGATGCTATGGAAAATGGGAAGAAATCAGGCTGTTGGGTTCTGACTGATAAGACGATGCAGCAGGGGGCCAAGGAGATGGCTGACATCAATCTGGTGGTTTGATCTGGTAATCCCAGCTGTTAGGCAGTTGCGAGACTGGCGACTTCGGCGAAGTCGAATATGTCAACCAATCTAACAAACACGCTCGCGGTGTTCCTCCCAGTAACGCTCTTCGCTAAGCAGCCCCAGAGGCTCAATTTCGAGAAAGGTGAGTCTTGTGACGTGTTGTCATGTCACCCGAGAAAGCCCATCACTCTCGCACACGTGGCTGTGCATCGCTGTCACCAGATATCTGACCACCCGTGGCTGGTAACCGCAACGCTATTGGCGGACGATTCTCTATTCACTTGCGACACTCTATTGGCGAACAGATTCTCTTCTTGCTGCGCTGTAACGTCCGGGAACCCAGCACCCGCTCGGGAATGGCTCGCCAGGGCGTCGGGGATTCCGTGGTCCCATCTCTCCGCCTTGGCTCGTAGGGACATCTCGATTCTCGACAACCTATTGGGGTATATCATGCTGACAAATTGTCTGATGCTGACTCAGCGCAGCTGAATCTCTCGAGAATGCCGCCGAGTCGCTTACCTACAACACCCAGCTTCTCGAACCTCGATATCGCCAACAAGACAACATATGTATCAACAGCAGCAAGCTCTCTCTTTATTTTCAACCTGGCCTTACCTCCCCATTCACCTCCTAAGGCGTATCAGGCTGATTACAGCTCAGCAGTAGCCACGCAGGGCATCGATCTTCCGATCAAAGCTGCTTCTAGGGCCGCCGCGTTCCGTGATCCAGGCAGTCTGTCGCGCGATAAGCCACCCAGAACCCTAGCGCGTTACGTCGTCCACCAATGGCGTGCCTAGCTGCTAGCTCCCAAGTCGCCTTCAGAGGCGTGGCTCTCAGCAATTCGCAGGTCAGCATATCCGCAGCCACGCATTAGAGCCCACGCCACGTGCTCTTCCGTTTCTCAGGCTGTTTCAAAGGTCGCAACTTCAGGCGCTGTGTCAGCCGTGAAAATTCTTGAACCACGCTCTAATTACTAAGGCTGTTTCCAAGGTCGCAGATTTAGTCCTAACGGCGGTATCATGGTGACTGCAGGCGGTGAGCAGCGCGAGCGTGGGTGGAAATGCCGCCAGACGATCGGTGGTTCGCTGCAAGGTGGCCTCGCCTGGAGTCGAGAAGGCCGATGCCTCCGCGTCCGCCGGCGAGTACACGCCGACAAGCGACGCGTCCACAATGAATCTCATGTCCGGCGCCATCAACGCGCTCTTCGGCTTCCAGGTAGATTGCACATGTTTCGTAGATCTCGAAAACGAGAAAGGAACTCTGAGTAGAAGTAGAAACAACTCGAAGGCGTCCTGAATGAACTTCATGACCGGCGCCGCGAATGTGCTTTTCGAATTTCAGGTGCAGTCGAGTCGACTGCAACATGATCCCGGTTGAGATCACACCGTCAGCTTGTCAAAGATGGGGCATGCAGCAACATTAGACAATCGAAAACCTTAATGTACGCATGTTGCCAAGGTCGGCTTGAGTATTTTTTTCTCTCACTCCTTGTCCCCCCTCCGATCCGGTTGCCGTGCCGGCATCGCAGCCTTTTTTCAGGTTTGCAGCGGGAAAGGCGCGCGAGATGATGGTCAAACGAGGGGATGCCATCGGTTTCCCGTGGGCGCCGCGACTCGCGGAGCTCAAGCGGCACGACTGGGACGAGGAGCTGCGATTGGTCGCCGCCACGAGCCGCGTCCCCAGGGACGCCAGCGGGGAGTACGTCTACCCGGAGTACTACACGAAACCGTTCCACGCGTACAAAAAGGGTAACCTTTCGCTGGACGCGGCTCTGGAGGTGGAGCTCGCAGCGAAGGCTGTGCACGCACCGGTCTTCGACCCCGAGGTGCGTTCCTATCTTCCTATCTCTCTATTTTGTTAAGTCTGAGGCTCCAGAACCAGTTCTGACCCCTCCAAACACGCTGAAGCGAACCCGACTAGTGCATCTCGATAAGAAAGCGCAGATTAAGGAGGGGAGGTCAATCGATTCTGGGCGTAACTCAAAGCACGTGATAACATAGCACACACACCACAAGAAGCTGGTCAACTTCTGGGGTCCCATCCCGTAAACACCTCTCTCCCGTTCTCCCCTTGTCCCCTATTCTTCCCCCCGCCCACCCGCTCCCTCCACCCCTTCCCCCTTCCCTCCTCGCCCCCGTTCCTCCTCTCCATCCCTATCCCCCCACTTCGCCCCACGATAGAGCAAGACGTTGGACCCCGAGGGCGATGCGAATCTGCGGAGGGGGTACCACGCGAAGCTGGTGGAGCAGCTGCGCATCCACCCCAACAGCATCGTCGACCTGGGCTGCGCGTCCGGCCTCAGCACCTTCGCCCTCGCCGAGGTAGGCATGCATGCCGCCATGTGCGCGTGTTTCCATGCAAGGCTCGTGTGAGCCTGCTTCCAGCCCACCCCAAGAGCATCGTCGACCTGGGCTGCGCGTCCGGCCTCAGCACCTTCGCACTCGCCGAGGTAAGCCTGGACTCAATAAACGTCGTTCTGTTGCATTCCTTCCGAGACCCTCGTCGATTTGCCTTCGTGCATTCAGGGATGCTGGTGCGGGCGCTCATTCCCCTGCCGTTGATGCTGTTCACTTGACTCTCCTGCGTAGCGTCAGCTGAAGGGCCCCTTGACTCTCCCGTCATCTTCACCTGATTTCCCCATCCTTTGGTTCACCCCGTGCAGACCTTCCCTGACGCGGAGTTCATCGGGGTGGACCTCTCGCCATACTTCGTTGCTGCGTCCAACTACAACGTCCGGGAGAGGAGCAAGCAAGCGGTGAGCTTTGAAACGCCTCAAATAACGCAAACATGCCCCTCTTGACCCTCATTGCACGGCACACGAAGAGGCGTACTCTGAACCTTCTCACACTACGACTCTCAGGTCAACTCGTTGATCTGTCACGCCTATAAGTGCTGGCACCAAGTGCTAATCCTTCAATGTTTCGCTCAACGTCACGCACTCCTTTACTCCATTCCCAATGCTGCATTCGCTAGGCGCCTAAAAAAACGAACAGCTCACTCCACGGTCCCCCCTACACCCTTCCCAACCTGGCAGGGTCACGAGCTGCCCTCGCATTCACTTTTGGGGTGCTATGATCGCACAACGTACTCCCTCACACCCATCCCAACTCCTCCCAACCCGGCAGGGGCGCGAGCTGCCGTTCACATTCATCCATGCGGCAGCGGAGGACACTGGCCTGCCTGCTGGCTCCGTGGTGCCACCAGCTGCCACTTACGTACTCCCTCAAACCCATCCCAACTCCTCCCAACCCGGCAGGGGCGGGAGCTGCCGTTCACGTTCATCCATGCGGCAGCGGAGGATACGGGGCTGCCTGCAGGCTCCGTGGACCTGGTGTCCATCTGCCTCGTGTGCCACGAGCTGCCACGATCAGCCACCAAGAAGGTGAGGAGCACAGTGGGTGCGAGCGTCAGAGACCTGGTGTGCCACGAGCTGCCACATCAACCATGAACCAGGTGAGAGAGTGAGGGCTTGAGGGAGGGAGGCAGGCATGTGTGTGTGGGCGTGGTGGAAGCACCCCAGCACCCAGTTGCCTGCTGGCTGGGTGGGCCTGGTGTCCATCTGCCCCATGTGCCACCAGCTGGCAAGATCAGCCAACAAGAAAGTCAGGGCGTGGATGGGGGTGCAAGTGTTGGAGAGAGGTGTGCGAGGTGCGAGTCTTAAGAGCGGTGTGCGTGGCTGTACCGTGAGTGCCAGAGGAGGCTGGGCTCCTTCCATCCTTTGCCTTGGATGGGTCATTCATCCGTCTGTCTGGCGGCTGTGCGGTGTAAACCAACTCTCAGCCCCTTGGAGAGTACACGAGTGCTTTACAGGGTGGCTCCCTGGACAGTCAGGTGGGTAGTGTGTGGTTGCCACTAAAGTCATTGAGGTTTGACACAGGGGAGTCGATGGCCGATAATGCACCTGTTGAGAGGCTCGAGATGTCAGGTGTTATTGAACTCCTTGTTTCTGAACCCTCGGTTTCTCAACCATCCCCGTGCACTGCTCAGATTACTAAGGAGGCACCTACTATTCAGACATCAGAGGTCGGGGGGGGTGACTTGAGGCGACGCATTAACCTCATTGTTTTTCTAGACCCGCCTGACCGTGACAACCCCCTCACACTGCGCAGATCATAGAGGAGGCACATCGCATCCTGAGGTCAGGAGGTGCGTTTGCAGTGATGGAGATGAACGCGCGCTCGCCCTTAAAGAGGGTTCATAAGCCCATAAGCCCGTTCCCTGACCCATTGCACTGCGCAGATCATTGAGGAGGCGCACCGGATTCTGAGGCCTGGGGGCGCATTTGCGGTGATGGAGATGAACCCACGCTCGCCCTTCTTCCAGAGGATCTCCAACAACCCCTTCACCTTCGCTGCGGTGCGTGTGCTGTGCTGCTGTGGTGTTGTGGTGCTGTGCTGCTGTGCTGCTCTGTTGCTGTTCTGCCGTGGTGTTGCCTTGAGCACGTGCATACTTTCCTGGCAGTTTGCATGTGTGCTGTCATGGAATGTTCAAAAGATACCCAGCTGCCTGTTTGTCAAGGCTATGTTACGTGTGCTGTGTGTTGCCTTCTCCACTTGCTCACATAATGGCTGTCTACCTGCTCCTCTTCTTCTCCCTTTTTCCCTCTCCCGTTCTCTCTACTCCCATTTTCTCCACTCCTCTTTTCCACTCCCCTTCTCCACTCCCCGTCTCCACTTCCCTTCTCTCCGCTCCCTTGCTCTCCTCTCCATTGAGAACGCTGTGGTGCAGCAACATCGCTGCTGTTGCTCACTTCGCGAAACTCTCCCCCTCCCTCCTCCCCACTCCCCCACAACCTTGCAGTTCAAGGCAACAGAGCCATACCTGGACGACTACCGCACGTTCCCCATTGAGGATGCTGTGGTGGAGCAACATCGCTGCTGTTCTCACTTCACAAACAATCCCTATCCCCCTCCCTCTCCATCCTCCCTGCAGTTCAAGGCAACGGAGCCATACTTGGACGACTACCGCACGTTCCCCATTGAGGATGCCATTGCAGAGAGAGGTTTTGAGTACCCACAGCAGATGGAGAGCAGCCCTCGCCACCGCTGCATTGTTGCCCACAAGCTGTAGAGCTTTAGTGTCTGGCCTGGAGTCTGGAGCAATTGTGTAATGCAAAGTGTAATAAAAGGGCGTCAAAATTGCTCACAATGGTTTTCCATGGGTCACAGCAGCCACAGCGGGTCGCCATGGCAATACAGCAGCATTGCCACGAGCCCCTTCCAGACCAGCTCAAGGGAAGGAGAAGAGGATGGGGAGAGTTGTATGAGAAACACACCAGCCGTGTGTGCTGTACCAATGCATGCACCCCATTTGCTAGCCAAGTATGTTGCGCATGTTACATCCTGCCTTCCCATTGTCATCTTTCAAACCTTTTAGTGGAAAACTGAGAAGCTAGTACAAGATCTTACAGCAATTCACTTTCATGTACTACGGTAGGTTAGCAGCCTGGGTG